GTATGAATATAATATACAAGTTTCACTTTTTAAATGGAATTACTGAAATAAATCTACTTTTTCATGATATTCTAATTTTATGACCAGCACCTGTACCTTCTAGTAGCTTGGAAGGTACTTATCGTTTCAGGCTGATAGTATGCATTAAGGCGCAGTGGGTTTATCTCCTCCCCCGGGACGCGGAGCTGCAGCGGTCGGCCCGACTCGCTGTCCTTTGCCTGAGGAAAGTACTCAATCTGCGGCATGCTGATTCAGGCTGTAGCTGGGGGTCACCCCAGACATCGCTAACAGTCGCTAACAGAGTTTTCTGGGTCTGCACAGACATGTTTCAGACTTTAATCTGGTGATCTCTGTTGTGCGTTAAACAATTACTGAAGCTCACATTTTTTTTAGTTTGATTTATTCGACGACAAGAGAGGGGAATATACTGTATTTAATCTTAGAAAACCAAAATCCAACTATTAAACCATCAGTGCGATTAGGCTCATATTTCTGTCGAGGTGGGCTTGTTTTATTTTATCTTCATATTTTACAGGCAAAGGAGCCCTGCAATGGAGGTTAGCCTCCTCCGGCCTCCCGTCCCCTCTTCTGTTGTCCAGGAAAGAGAATAAACATCCGAGAACTGCTGGATAAGTTCTCCAAGCAGCCAAAATGTCACCGACTGGAGGGCTTTGTTTGCAGCATGACAACCCACTCGTGCTCTGTATCATTTCAAACTTTAACAAACTGTTCTCTGTGTTGTAATAAACATTTTTAAAGAGTAATAAACACAGGGTTCCCACCACTTGGTCAACATCAAATTCAAGGACCTTTCAAGGAATTTCCAGTACCAATTTCCTCAAATTAAAGAACCACGCGCAACGGCAGTTACCTACTGCTACCACAGAATGCTACCAATAAACAGGTTTAATATCATTTAAATTCAATGAAAAACTTAACAACATAGAAATTGTTGAGTCAGAAACAACGATGTCAGTTTTTTACTTTTAATTTAATTTTTATAATTTATTTTTTTAAAAGATGATGATAATCAGTCGTGTGAATAGAGAATTCAAGGACTTTCAAGGACAAGTGTAATTTTTGGCTGTTTTCACAAACTTTCCAGGACCTTGAAATATTTTTTTCAAATTCACAAACTTTCAAGGACCCGTGGGAACCCTGTAAACATTACCTGAAAGTGTCATATACAGTACATCCATTTGGTAGTTTTTGAGATATAAACCTGAGAAGGCAGCTGGCTAGCTTTAGCAAAACTACCCGGTTTGTCAGTTAAACATGCGGTTACACTGGGTGGTGAAGTTCAAAGTTGGACCATGAGCTGGGCTGACCCACGTCCTGGGTGAGAAGATAAACCCACTTCGTCTTAATGCATATCAGCCATAAAATGATTGATAAGTGCCTTCCAAGCTAGGAGGTAGAGGAAGGACCGTCTGGACACAACGTATGGGACTGATAACCAATATTCATTTAAGTAAGTCAGGATCCCGACTTTTTCTCCCCAGGATCTTGAGAAAGAAAGTCAGGATCCGTTTTTTTTTTTTTTTTTTAAATTTTCCCCACGTCCCATTACGGGTTCCGTACGTTTCAGATTCAACTCAACATTCGCTCCCTTTTTTCTGGTTATTTTAAATTGACAAAAATCTGGTGTTTGTCCAACGAAAGCAGACGAAGATGTAAAATCCAACCTCTTCTGCTCTCATCAGGTCTCCCCAGCATCTGGTCCGGTCCGAGGGTCCACAACCGTGACAGTTTGTGGAAACAACTTCGGCTTCGATAAGACCGAAAACTTCAAGTCCTCGATGGTTTCTGTGGAAGTGGCGGGAACTCCCTGCAAACTGATTCGTCAAGAAAACGTCAACAGGTGTGTGTGTTCCAGGTTTTTTGTCACCTTTGTTGGACATTTTCTGGTACAAACACTTAACCTTGTCAGGACCAGGGACAAAATGCAAGTCCTAGGACCATGAGATTTTTGGTGTGGGGTTAGGTTTGGGGTCAGGGTTAAACTACAGAAATGAATGGAGAGCAATACACGGTCCTAATAAGGATAGAAATACAAACTTGTGTGTTCATCTACTAGAAATGTGCACAAGTCCTGCAACAGAAAAACCTGTAATAAAAAGTAAAAATGTACGCTACTGTTGATTCTGTCAGCTGGGGGGTTTCTGCCCCTTCATTTCCACCAGTTGAAGGAATCAGTGGAGGAGTGGCCTCAGATTCCGGCAGTAAAGATTTAGCTCACCTGTAATGGTGGTTTCCACTTTGTAATCCTGTCAAAATAAAACTACGTTGATAGAAACTGCGCGTAGACTTTAACACGTTAAATGAACACATTTTGCTCATTTTCTGTGTGATTTAAGACATTTGATTTGATTTGATGATGCCTTTATTGCCATTGTACGGAGCACAATGAAATTACATTTAAGAATAAAAAAAAGATAAATAATGTTTTTAAATGACAGTGCTTACAGAGGAGATATTTTATTCCAACTACATATTTTAATACGACATAAAAACACCAGACAGATGTATAAAAGTTAGTTAGCTGATTAGAATAAAACACATTTCCCTCTCAGTGTCTGAACCGCCACCTTTAAGGGGCAAAGACTCATACACTGGTGTCTTATTGGGGGTGGGGTGGGGGGTGGGGGGTTAATAGGGTTATTGTGTTGAAGGAAGAATGTTAAGGAGCATGCCCCACCCCCTCCTCTTTTCTTTTTTTTCCTGCTGCCTGCCACATTCAACACATGACATGCCTTAACTGAAAAATTGCTCAGGGAAAAAATGTCTGAATCCAAACTTTTCCTCATTCCAAATCCACTGGGGCCAAGTCTCATTCAAGGGCCCTTTTTCCTCCAAACAACCTCATTACAAAGGAGTGGGGAGAAAAATAAAAACCACTGCCCACACAATCCCACATGAAGATTGTGTCTTTGTGCATTCTCTCAGAGTACTGATCATTGAATTAGGCTAAATGCTGGGAGCTGTGACAGAGAATAATGCTTGTTTTGTGTGTTGTTTGTTGGGGTCGGGTGTAGATGGACTGAGATGCAGTGTTCCCCAGTCTTCAATGGGAACTTCACCCAGTCAGGACACACGGTAAAGGTTACCAGTGGCCACAAGGTCGCCAAGATGGAGGCTTTCAAATTTGTGGTAAGAAAAGTTTTTTTAATTTTTAATTTAGCAAAGAACAAAAACTACATTAAATTCAGGGTTGACAGACTGTCATAATCTTTGTTTTGCACATTTTCTTACTTTTTACACTCTTCTGAAAATAAATTTCCCGCAATTTTACACATACATATTTATTGCCCAATAATAAAGTGGCCATAATGGTTTTTTCCCGTGTGTGTGTGTGTGTGTGTGTGTGTGTGTGTGGGTGTGGCTTTGGTGACATTTGGGGGCAATTTAAATGCGAAAATCCTACCTTTGGGGACAACTGATACATTTGGGGACAAAAGTCAAGTTCCCATTTGGTTTAAGTGCCATTGGTGGGTTGGGGGTTGGGTTTAGGACCAAGGTGTGAATTGAGTTTAGGTTAGTTTTAGGGTCAGGTAGGTACCTGTGAGGTTAGCTTTAGGGTTTGTGGTCAGGGTTAGGCTGTAGAAATGTAATGGAAGTCAATGGAATGTCCCCAATTGGATAGCTATGCAAACTTGTGTATGTGTGTGTGTGTGTGTTTTTGTATTTGTTACCTTTTTAGGACCCGTTGTTGGTATACACACCTACCTTGTCAAGACCAGTATTCCTTATGTGGACTAAAGAGCGGTCCTAATATGATGGAACTCCATGTTTGGGTTGGGGCTTTGGTTTAGGGCAAGAGGTCCGGGTTAGGTTATAAAAAACTGGAAATGAATGAAAGTCAATGAATGGTCCTAGTAAGGATAGACATACAAACCTGTGTGTGTGTTTGCAAAACATCTCATGCACAGATTTTAATCAAACTTTCATAAAAGGATCATTAAAGTCACTTTCATAATTCTTCAACATCAAGAGCCAACCCAGTTCAAGATGGCCGCCACATCCAGCTGAACTTAGAAAATACAAAGTTAGCCGTAACTGTTGGTTTCACGGATAATGTGGTGAAATCTAGTGTGGGTATAGCTGAACGAGACTCCAAACACATACTTCAACTGCTACTGGACAACATATTCAGATAGTAACAACTGGATCCAAGTCAGTCCAGTTTAAGATGGCCGCCTCAGCTAAGTGACGTTAGAAAACAGAAGAATGACTATAAATATAACTATAGTCAGTTTTACATATGCTGAGCTAAAATGAGAGTCATTCAGAAGCACAAATTCTACGTGTGACAGTTTTTGATCAAAACATTTACAACTCTGTCATTTCTCTGTACAACATAATCTTTGTTTTAAAGTCTGGCAGGGTATTCTGTCTTTTAATCAATGCAAGGTTTTTAATTCAGCAAATTAAACCAGAGACTTCTGTTAGTAAAACATGAAAGTAGAAGCAGCAGGAAACTTTGTGGAAATTACCCAGACTGCTAAAGGCTGCCGGTTTATTTGTGACCGTTCAGTTTTTAATGCCAATAATAAAACCACTCTAACAGGTGTTGTTGAGGTGATGCAGTTTTGAAATGTTGACATGCCAGAAAAAAAACATGATAATCTCTGAAGGTGAGTCTGAAAGAATGTGAGGTTTGATGCAGTGTGATGACAGATGGAGCAGATTGACGCTCACCACGACTGCAGCTTCACACGAGGAAGCCTTTCAGCTGCTCTGAACAAATCTCCTGCAGGTTTCTCAAACATGAAACTCTCTGTGATTGTTCCTCCATCAGGACCCTGTGATTCACAACATCTTCCCCACCTTCGGCCCAAAGTCTGGAAACACCATGCTGACCATCAGAGGAGCTTTTCTGGACACTGGAAACAAACCAGAGGTGACTGTAGGGAAGGCAGTCTGTGAGATCCAAAGGTCAGTACAGGTCACTTTTATCTTCCTCATACAACCAGTCTGTGGGGCCGATTCATCAAGATCCCAAAAAATAAATGCTAAATTGCTGTGCAAACTAAAAAATTGGCCATGCTATTAGTGGGCGTGCTGCAGGTGATCTACTAAGATCACTGTATAAATGACAACAGGTGCAAAAGTGGTGCGAACATCAATATTGAAATGAGGATTTTGTGTGAGTTACTGGCTGTCACCATTCAGGTATATCATCCAGTTGTAAGAAAATGCAATGTTTACCCACCGGACAAGGGGTGGAGTAAGTAACGGCCACGAGGCAGAACAATGGGCCTCATGCAAGAACATGTTCGTATTCTTATCCTAAATTTCTCTTACTTTTGTTCGTACAAAGGGTTCGTACGAACATGTCACGTCAGATTCAACAAACTCTTCTATCTTCAGGAAAAGTGTGTAAATGAGCTGCGTGAATTCCACCTGTTCGTATCCAGCTGCTCGTGCACGCAAGAGGAGATTAGCATAATTACCACCCCAAAAACACCATATAAGGCTATGTTTCCTGCCTCAGACATCAGGAAGTGTCCATTCATGAAAATGACAGTGAAAATTAAAAAGAGGAACTTTACGAGTTCAGAGATTGAAGTCCGTCTGTCAGAGATCCAGAAAAGAAAATCTGTCATTTTTAGCAGGTCAGCTGTGGAATAAAAAGAGCTGCTAAAAGTATAAACAACTGTGTTAAATCATTTTCATTTATTCAGAAGACACACCGTTGCACACCGTACCCCCACCCGCCTCCGGCGCCCCCGCACGCCGCGCAGTCGCAGATGGTCTCAGATGTGGTTCTGAAATAAGCATTTTAAAATGTTTGAGTTGGAGAAAACCCAGGACTTGCTAGAGGGATCATGTATCCCCTCTGGCCTTGCTGTCCCCCAGGACGAGCTGGAAGGTGTTGCTGGGGAGAGCGGGGTCTCCTGCTGCCCCCGCGACCCGATCCCGGATAAGCGGCAGAAAACGGACGGACGGACAATTTATATTGTTAGTCTAAATTATTACATTTAAAATTATAACTCTAATTCAAGCAGAATAGCCTATTGTCAACATAATTATGGAGTGTGATTTTTTTTCAACTCAAAATATCTTCAAACTAATGAAATATAAAGTTATTAGTGAAAAAACCCATCTGGATAACAGCAGACTGACTGCTGGTAAAATATACGACAGGTCTGGACCACTCGTAAATTTTGTTCGTATCTGAAAAAAATCGTAGAATGCGAAAACATTGGTGAATGCCACAAATTCTCCTAAATCACTCGTACACACAACTTAAGAACAAATCTGTGTGTACGAACGGTTCTTGCATGAGGCCCATTGTTTGCACCTGCCTTTCAAACATGTTAAATATAGAACAGCAACTAGTTTCGAGGTTTGATAATTCACTCTATGGGGCTAAATGATTATATTAGGGGTGCACCGATTTTCTTCATTTATGGTGATTGGAGATACTGATACTTAGATAAAATTAGTGAAAAGGATCGGCTTCATATTCTGTTTTTCTCATTGAAAAATCAATCCTCGGTGTACACAGCGTGCGCTTCTTTTTGAACACACAAACCTTTGATAAATCAGCCCCTGTTAGTCTTTTTCTGTTTTTTTTTTCAAACACAAACATTTTGTGTTTTAAAACAGGATAAAAAGTCATTTTGAAGTGAGGTTGCAAAAGTTGTAAACAGCTTTAGAAGCATTAAGTTTGAAAAAAACTGATGAGCTAATGGCTAGTCCAAATCATTGACCTAAACAAAGATGGATGTAGAGACTCCATTAACTTCTATTGTTCAGGATTAAAGCTGAATTTTCAGATTTATTTATTTTTTGGCTTCATGAATATAATGAACTGAAAAACATGCAAAGATGTAGTAATGCCATGTATTTTTAAAGATGGTTTAAGATTTATGATAATCACAATGCCTGAATTAACTAATCATAATAAATAAATTTGCACCAATACAGTGAGGCAGCCAGGGGGGTCCGGTGGGGTCCAGGTTGGGGTGAACCACCTCAAAGCTGAGGGAGAGGAAGCAGCAGCAGGTTTTCTCATTGCTGGAAGTGAAAATGTTATTTTAAGTGAAAAAATGTGAGAGTTACAACAGGTTTGCTGCCTCCCTTCAGAAATAAAAGCTGCTCCACTTGTTCTATTAAACAGATGTCTTTGATCTGAAGCAACAACCAGAACCAGAACCAGAACCAGAACCGACAACAAGCCAAAACAAACTCAAACTGACACTGAGCTGAAATGTAACGTTTGTTTCCTCATCCTTCTTCAGCTTGGCGTCCACCATGCTGACCTGTAAGACGCCGCCGCACAGCGCTGGCTCGGAGCAGCCGGTGAAGCTGACCGTGGATTCGGTGGAGCGCCACGCCCCCCTGCCGTTCGCCTACAACGAAGACCCCGTCATCACCAGGATCCAGCCGCTGCGCTCCTTTGTGAGGTGAGAATCAGATTAGCTTTCTTCTCAGACCAGCTCACAGAGTGTTTCCACGTTTGGCGTTTTGACAAACTGCTCTGAGGCTTCGCTCCTTAAACATGTCGCCTCAGCTAAACTCCCTCAGACTTCCTCCCAGCCATGTTTCATCACCCAACAGACTCGTAGTTTTTTTAAGCAGCGGGAAACGAGTGGGAGGTGACGAGCTGCTAACGCTAACAGCAGGTACCTCCCTGTGGGGTTCTCCTGTGTCCGATGCTAACTCTGATATCCGCTCTCACCCCAACCCCCTCGCTGCAGTGGAGGCTGCACGGTGTCGGCTCATGGCTCCTTCCTCCAATCCGGCCTCCAGCCCCAGATGGTTCTCTCCACCGGTCCAGACTCTGCAGTCTTCCACGTGGTGAGTTCAAGTTCGAGTTTCTGTCTCAAAATCATCTGACTGAGGCCCACTTCACTTGTTTTACCCACTGTGCATAAACTTTGGTAAATACTTACAAATCATGATCATTTCTTCACTGGAGGACGGTGTCTTTCACTCTCCGTCTTTTTAGTGTGCCCATCACTTTAACTTTTAAAGTCAACCCAGTTCAAGATGGCCGCCACAACAAAACAGCCACAGATACAAAATGTTTGTAACTTACTGAGTTTCAGCTCATTTTTCGTGTTGTAGAATCTGTGTCTAGTCCCCAGTGTTTTCTCAATTTATTATCTTTTAGAGTCAAGATGGCCACCCCAGCTGTTCGACCTTAACTGACACAAACTAGGCCTGTGTATTGGCAAGAATTCAGTGATACAATACGTATCATGACAGAGGGGTCACGATATGATATATCCTGATATATTGCGATACTGTAAACAAGGCGATATATTGTGATTTTTTTGTCCAAAAATTCCATTAAATAAAAACCTCTTACTGGGAAAAAAATGAAAAACCAAAATTGATTGTCTCAGAAAATTTTAATGTTACAGAGACATACTTTTGATACATTTAGCTGTGTTCTGCTTTGTATGTGTTTTATTTTATTTGTTTCATATTTCTTATTTCATCCATGTTTTCAATTATTAGACTAAATTTGACAATAAATAGTTTGAAAATATATATTTTTACAGCTTTTAGTTTTTAATATTAATTTACAATATGGTCACCCAACACTTAACAATAGYCTTTATGTTGTCATAAAGTTCAGTAAACAGATGATATGAAGCTGCTGCACAGAGTTTCTGGGATCAGCTGACCTGCATCCAGAACATGATTTGTATAACTGTGGGTCGAACAGCAGGGCAGGTCCTGAAAATAAACAGTAAATACTGTAAATGGAGAAGCTAAAGAACACAGTTAAAACGTTTTTGAAGCGAACACAGCAGGATAAACTTAAAGTACATGGACTTTGATGCGATCAGCCGGACATTGAGCAACAGACAGAGTTTTATGTCACGGGCATCGGGGGGAGTGCCGAGCTCGAGGCGCTAGATGCATGCGCTATAGTACAGTATATGCCTGCCTGCCTTCCGTAACGTGAAAGCTGACTACAGTTGGAAAAAAGAGCGCACGAGACACTTAATTTGGCTTAAAAAGCAGATATTCTGACAAATAAGTAACTGTTTGTAACCTTACCTCAGCTTAGAAAGCAGAAGGTGTTGGTCTTTTCCGCTCAGATTCAGCTATCGGAGCATGAAGCTAATGTTTACTTACAATGCTAATGCTACCCTTACTCTCTGGTGCTCAAGAGGTGGAGGAGCCAAATGTCTGGCTCACTGCTGCCAACTAGTGGTCAGAGGCTGAACGACAACATATAAATGAACGGCTGGCAGGAAAGTTGACGTTTTAAACCTTTATAACAAATCGGTACAGGGCTTTAGAATATCGATACAGTATCGGGAAATGAAATATCGCGATATTTCAGTGTATCGATATTTTCTTGCACCCCACGTGACTTTACCTCCCTGAATAGCCTATATGCCACGGTCATTAATGACGTATTTCCAGTAAAATTCTTGCCACGCTCCTCCCTTCCACTCCCTGCTTACTGCCTGTTTTTAGCGTTAGCTGCTAGTACTAGTCCGTGAAAAAGTCACAAAAGTTAAAGCATCTGTGATCTACTGGTATAAAACATGAGTTCTGTTGTGTGTCGTTGTGTTCACTAAGCAGCAGGTACAATAGAGTCGTTAGTTTTTATCCTTTTTCCTCTTGATGAGGAGGTGACAGCAGAGGATCATAGCCTTACAGGGAAAACTTATCTTTAAAAGCTCACGCTTGCGTTTGTAATCAGCATTTCTAACCTGAGGATATTCAAGAGCCAGCATCAGAAATGAGAAGATGGAGGTTACAAAAGGGAAATGTACATTTATCCCCTTTTACTGCCAAGACGAGAGAGGAAAGACCACCTCCACACGACAGSTAGCAGGAAGCTAACACAGCAGCCGGTACAAAGGTAGGTGTGTGYGCGCGMGTTTGTGTTATATGAAATGTTTTTATGCGACTTTGTCATGAGTTTCATGCAAAAGTAAAACCTTGTTAGAGTGTATATTACAGCGTAGACTAAAGCCAAGTGACGAGCGCGCACACCTCCCCCCGAGCACAGAGAGCAGCAGAACCTCCGCCTGATAATCATTACGTTTTCAGTTCACAACGTCGAGGAAAATGATCCAAACCATACAAGTAGCCCATCAATTTAAAGCCCAGACTCTGCTCTTTCCAACAATATAAGTGTCACAGCTCTACGTGAATAATTCACGGAACAAGCAGCCACGGAATAGTGAAAAAGGCTAAATTCTGGAACCATAAACAMGAACGTCTTTCCTTTGTTTTTATGACTTTAATCCACTTTGGAGAGTTTTTTTCCACTTGGCTGGACCTGTGCGTCTCCTGTGTTAATGTTGGTATATGTAATATGCTAATTCTGTTCTGTGGAGATCATTAAGAGTCGCTGTCGGGTGAAAAAATCTTTCGCTAACACTGAGTTGACCGTGAACCTGAAGTGCTGGGAGTGGCATCAAATGCTGGGCCGGATGTCCGTGGCATATAGGCAATTTTACTGACACTGAGCTAAACTGTTGCTCCCCAACCTGGACTATGCTTGAGTCAAACATTATTTGTCTGTTAACAAAATATCTCATACTGTTGAATGGATTTCAATGAAACACCTAGAACGTAATTATTATCTGCAACTAATTAACTTTTGGAGTCGCTCCAGTTCAAGATGGCTACCTCAGACAATCAACCTCAGCAAACACAAAAATGGCCATGCCTCTATGAATTTTACTGACACTGCGCTAAAATTTGTCATGATAGTAGCTGAGCCTCCTTCACAAAACATACTGCAAGCTCTAAAACATCACATGAGATCAGGCAGGATGTTGACATGTTGCAAGATTGTCTTCACCTTTAGTTTGGAAGAGAAAACTCTGAGCTCAGATTTAATGGAAGTCAATGAGAGTTTGGATGTGTGTTGTCTACACCAGCGCTCTGCACATGTGGCTCTTTGGTCCCTCTGCAGCAGCTGTTTGAAGCTTTCACCAAAACTAACATGAGTTGAATGTTTTTGTTGTTGTTTTGTGCCCACAACAGAAAAGGCCAGGCTTAGCTGTTTTTCTCTCCATTCGTCCACAAAAAAGTGTTTGAAACACGAGGAAAAAACGTATTGATTAGATCATGCTAGTAGCTTGTTGACCACTTTAATAATCCAACTTTCAGTCTTACAGTCTCATCTTTTTTCCCCATATCCATCAGAGTTTTTAAAATTAATTTATTTAAATAAAAACATGACAAATTTACGTTTTACTCTTGATGTTGCGGTCAGTTGCAGTATCTCTGTGTCCTGGCTCAATCTGAATCGGCTGATTATAAATGTTTCACTCCCTCCAAATCACATGGATGGTTTTCTCATCAGACACGCTCACCACTCCAGAAACCATTCAGAAAAAAAAAAAAAACTCCTGACATAGAAAAAGAGCTTTAGTTTCAGACACACATGAGCGGGAAGGAAATGGAAAATTCTCAGTCTGGAGCGTTGGAACCAGCTGTCACCCTCTGACTCACAGTAGCTCAAGTAAAAGCTTTATGACGCTTCAGCTCGTCTCACCTCTGTCCAGCTGGATCCTTCTGACTGTAAACACACACACACACACACACACACCTAAAAACACACACCTGGAAGACATCACGTCTGTCTGAACCCAGCTGGTGTGAGCTGCTTTAAATTATTCAACCTGATGAGTTGTGGCCTGTCGACTGATGTAACGTCATCACAAAGCAGTGAAAAGATGTTTAATTCATACAGAATATACAGTTTATTAAGTATACCATCATCTGTGTTTTTACCTGTTCACACATGAAAACTATAGAGCTGACATCAGAGAATCATATGATCTCGGTTTAACCCTGGAAAGCTTCCTGTGTTAGTTTATTAAGATGTTGCTGAATCTTGGTAAAAATGGAAAGTGTTTCCCCTAAAATCAGCAAAATAAGCATTTCCTTTGCTTGGAAATGACCTGTACAGTACGGAGCCCGCGAGGGGACATGGGGGAATTTTTTTCTTTTGCGTTACCTTGCAATATCTTTGCGTTACCTCGCAATACTTTTGCGTTTTCCCACGCAATATTTTTGCATTCCCACGCAAAAGATTGTTTTGTATATGAACTGATTTAAATCAGACTTTTATTTTGAAATATCCAGTTACCAAAACAGAATGTGTCGCCACAAGTTCGTGAAATTGACATTGATGTTGCGTGGCCGTACTGTGTTAAAATATCGACATATGACGTACTTCCATGCGTGGCTTTGTGCTATATTCATTCTGAAGCTGAATTGAGGTAGTAGGCTAACTCGCTAATGGTGAACATGTGAGTTTGCTAATAAACCGGCAGGCACAACGTGATAAACTACTTTTGCGAGGGAACGCAAAAGGTATTGCGAGGTAACGCAATAGTATTGCGTGGGAACGCAAAAGAAAAAAAATCTCCCATGTCCCCTCGCGGGCTCCGTAGTACAGACATCAAACCTTCCACTCTGTTGATTTTTTTAAAAGTCTCTTAATGGAGGTCCAAATGATCAGCAGCAATTAGAAGAGAAATAAAACCAACCATCTGTACTAACATTAGATTAATGCATTGTTGTTTGTTGTCCATCATGGCAGAATAAATGGTCTTCATTGGCTTTGTGGGGTCTTTAAACGGTGGTGAGGGGAGCGCTAGAGAGCAAAGGGGTGGGGGATGTCAGAGGTTGTGAAAATGTCTTTCATAGTATATAAACATGACCAAAACAAGTCCATTTGATTTATTAAAACTATGTACAATTCAATTCTTCTTTTTCCTACCTTTATATAATTTTGTAACTTTTGATAAAGGGATACATATTTTATGCATATTTGGTAGAGGTAGGGTTTGACTACCTCCATTCCA